TTAGGCAAAGAATATTAATACAGGATCACCCAAATTTTTAACAACTGGAACACTGGATTTATGACTTAAGAGTGTTGTACTAAATTGTGGTAATATGTATCTTTCATAAGTCTACACTGCTTTTGCCTGTAGCACTGAAGTGTGCTTACACTAACGCCGTACTGTTCACAGCAGTACTGCACAGATACCTGAACCAGCTCCAAAACTGGAAGCTGGCTGCACTAATTAGCCTTGCCCAGAAAGAGCAATTAGCCCTGTAGAGCACAGCCAGGACTGTCCTATCTTTAGGACCTAACCCAGTATCTTTATGTGGCTTAAGAACAACACACTGCACATTAAAGTGTGCAACTAGCACTTGCCCAGAGCTAGTTCAGATATTTTTATACCTCACTACACAGACACAACAAACATTAAAACTTTGTATTTCTGGGAGTAAGTCCCAAGTATTTGGGACACATCCAATCAATGTTAAGTAACTTCAAGTATCTAAATGATGTAAGCACCTCTATAGGAACGTATAAATACCAAGTTCATTTACTGCGTTGCTATGTGTAATAAGCAGAAAAGTTTTGATGATTTAAGAGTCAGATCTGCCTACATCACTCAAACCCAGTTTGAAGTAAGGTTTAGTTACTATGATAAGCTTCCATAACAGTAATAAACCTCGTACATTTCTATTTACTTTTTTGGTTTGCCTCAAGACAATAGTATTAGAAAGGGAGTTCCTCATGTTCTCCTATATTACATTTTGGAGAAAGAGAAGAAAAAGCCAGGAAAAACGTCACTGTAACCGAGATAACTACTGCCTTAAGTATCTGTGCACTCCAGATGCTCTCTTGCTAACTGTGGTTTAAACCCCTTTCATAATCACTTTGTAAATGTCTTGGAAGTACAGCTACTCACACCTTAATGTGACAAATATTAAATACAGGAAAACCTATGTGAAGCCTACCTGAAAAGAATGCACTCCAAGAACAGCTAAGAACTGGAAGTGCTCTTCACCATATGGGGGAAAGAAACTGAAGCTGTCTTAGGATTCTTTGGGCAACAATTTCAGGGGGTTCCTCGCACAGAATGTGAAAGGTCCCAGAACTTCAGTTCTCAAAGTGCATGCAAGAATAATGCCTTCTTGATAGTTAACATGAGAAGTATATTTTTATAAGTAATAAAAAGAACTTCAAAGAATATTCCCATTATTACGGACAGTACGCTTTTCAGCACTCTAACTTCTTTGTACTTTTAAAAAAAACTTTCTAGAAAGCAAACCAAAACTTGTGTTTCTCTGAGATCAAGAGACAGCAATGCTAAAGTTACTACGGCCTCACAGAGCAGAAAGAGCTTTCCGCTGTCGGCTACAGATTCCTTTTCTAAGAAGGAGAAGCATCCAAACCCCGATTTTTATGAGTATTATATGAATTCCTGAATCCTCCTTGAAAATCACGCACAGAGGGAGCTCTGAAAGTCCTAGACGTATCCCATAGAAACAGAGGAGAAGAATCTCCACCTACTCTTGCGTATCCCATCATCACGGCCGGTGCCCGCTGCCCCCCCTTCCCTGCAGGACCTCGCCGTTCCGCGGCCAGCAGATGCAGCGCCGTGCAAGTACGAACAGGTCTGAGAAGAGGGAAAAACTCATCGCGCCACTTCCCTGTTTCCCTGGTGAATCAACCTCCTCCTCCCCCCTTCTCACCACCGCTCCATCAAATTGTTAATGAAAACGCTTCAAGCCCTGCCAACCCTTCGAGAGTTGGGGAAACACACACTGAACCGAGATCTTTACTACTGCAAAACAAAGTGTTACAAGGACGGAAAAACCCTCTCGTTGTGCCTCCGGAGCCGTGTGGCACATCCCGCACGGCGCCCTACTTCAAGGGCACAGGAGACTCAAAAGCTGGGGATGGGGGTGTCCCCAGGGGTCTCCCGGAGAGCCTCCT